AAATAACTACAGATAAGAGGCAAAGCAGGTTGTAGTGCGAATCTGTTAATTAACTTATTGCAGTTACAGCGCAGATGTGAACATCAGTTCTGATTGTGCAGTCTGACAGCTGCAGGGAGGAAGGACCTGCGGAAACGCTCCTTCATGCATCGAGGAGAAGAGAGAGCCATTTCTCTGAAATAAACTCTTTTCCAAGGATGAGCGATTTCTCCATCAGATAGATTTATTTGCATCATTACTTATTATTTATTACTTTGTTGTTTCAGCAACATTAAATTTAAAAACTGTACTTTTGAGTTAAAATATATATTTATAATTTTAATAAATGACAAATTAAAAAAAGCATGAACATTTTTTTGTATCGAAAAAAAAATATCGAACCGTGACACCAAAGTATCAAACCGTGAATTTTGTGTATCGTTGCACACCTACAAAATTAAAGCAATTTTCCCCCCTTTAACACTTTTTCCTTTTACTGTAACGTTATCAACATGCTATATGACTGTTATATACACCACAGCATATATGTTGGCTGTCGAGTCAAGCTGCTAACGTTGTTCCCAAATTAAGACGTTTACTTTCCTGTTATTCAAGGTGTTCAAGGTGTAGTTTTTGGTTTTGCGTTAGCGCCATAGTGTACAGTTTACACATTCACACATCACCTGAAATATTCATAGACTCAACACTGGGAGGAGTCAAATCTCTGGGAGAGATAAATCAGGAAGGGCATCTGGTTCTTTTTGTGTGTGTGGTGGGCTTCATGACAAACCTAATGACTGGTAAAATATCAAAAAGGGACGTGTGATGTCTAATTGACACAGAAGACCTGTTAAATACTTCAGCTGATGATGCCCATGCTGTTGTGTCCTAGCAGGACTGATGCAGCTAAAGTGTTAGCTCCAACTGTTCATACACAGGTCACAGACCACAAATTGCGCAGGCATTAAGAAGCATTTTCATCAAACAGACAGCCACAGAAATCTCCATGTTCATTTGGCTTCATGTGCTTTAGTTCAGCTGTCTCTGTTAGCAATTTATATCAATTTGCTTCACAACTACAGACAAATTCACAAATCTTTTATCATGTATACAATTTCATTTCCTGCTGTCACACAACAGAATGACAGATATATGATGTGAATACAGCCCATAAACTACACAGGAGAAATTAAATACATTCCCCAAGCTGCTTCTCTGCACCAACTGAATCATTGTTTTTGTAGCTGTGAGCTAACAAACTCTTCATTCATACGGATTAAAGACAAAAACTGCGCTGAAAGTTCATGCAGTGCATGTAGAAGTCAAGTCATCGCTCAGACCGAGTGTCTCCGTTAGGTCTGTATCAGCAGCTGTGGGGTCTAAATATGCTGTGTTGCTCCTACTGGCACCTTCTAGCCATCACTCAGTCCTCTACTCCAGACCTTTAATGTTAATCAATACTTTATGATATGCATGTTCATAAGACGATTGATCTAATGTGTATAGTTTGAGAATTGAAATGCATTACTATACAATTTATATAATAAATGAGTAATATTTATATGTCCAGTATGAATATCAATCATCTTTTGGCAATGGTTTGATTCCCGTTTGTGTCCAGTCCAGCGTTAGACGGTTCTACTTAGGCCTGTTCGATATAACG